GTTCATCCGAGCCGTTTCTGACGGTCCCGAAACCAGGTCAGGGCCCACACAAGCTGAACATAGAGAAACACCGTCCGTTGCGTTTTTGTAATGAGGTTCGGTAGCAATTCATGAGCCTCTCATGCCATCCTGCTGGTTCTTGCGAGTCGACGCTTGCCAACGCTAGCTGACGCTTATCGACGCTACGCCAATGCTTCTCGTCGGCTACCAGGAGCTAGCGCACGCTAGCGCACCCTAAAGACGGAATTGCGAGTACATACAAGGTTCCCCTGATTTGCGGCCGAAGGAAGGGAGGGAGCAGAGAAGCTGGAATACCATGGGGGACCTGCCCACAACCAGGAATGTACCGTCGGTGGATCCATCCTCTCTCCGACCTTGAACTGCGCCGAACTCATCGGCCACGATGTCTATAGACGTACCCCCACTTGCGCCTGTATGTGTGTATATATATACATACACATGCATGTACATACAAGACTGCAGTGGCGCTTCGCGCCATGCACCTTGGTCCTTGAAGTTTGGTATGCAGGCGGAATGGCAGGAAGGTCAAGCCGACAATTCAGCGATAACTACTTGTTGCCTTTTCCAACATCGCCGCTAACATGATGTTATCCGTTAATATTTCCGCCGTGCTTCTTTTTCGTCATTCTCGCCATACCCTGCGCATTCTCCCCATCCTCCTCAGCTCTTTTTGCGGAGGCTCCTCCTTGGAGAGCCTCTGGGGGTATCGCAACAGTTTCCGGCTTTCTTAAGACCTTCTGGAGGCCTCCTGGGCGTGTTCTGGAGGTTCTGGGGGCTTTCTCGGGCCACCTTGCCTCCAACCGCGGTCTCCCTGAGCGACCGGGTCACGATTTGGAATGCTTCGGAGGGTGTCTTGGGGCCGTCGTGGGCCGCCATGGGGCTCTCTTAATGCCATCTTTGGCCCCTGTTGTGCCGTTTTGGGGCTCTCTTGGACTGCCTGGAAGCCCTTTCGGATGGTTGTGGGGCGATTTTAGAGCCTCCCAGGCGGCTTCGGACGCCCAGAAGACTGCCGCATTGGAGCGTCGGGAAGCCGAAAAGAGGAGTACCCCAAAATTCACCAAAAACCATTTGAAAATCAATGATGTTTGCCTCTTGCGGCCTTCTTGGGAGTGCTCTTTGACACTTTTTGAAAACTTTGGGGGCCGTCCTGGAGGCTTCTTGGGCCATCTTGAGGTCACGTCGGTCACTCTTGGAGCGCTCTTCTGCTGTCTTGGAGGTCTCTGGGGCGTCTCCGATGACCCCCCTGATCGCCCTAGGTGTGCTGGGAAGGCTTGGCAAAACGCCCTGCGAGGCCCGGGGGGCCGCTTCGAGGCCCCAAAGCCCCAGATCCCGGGAGTCCCTTTTGTTGAACATTATTACTTCTAAAGAATAATTATTGTTGGGGCCCCTGGTGCATGGCCCCCCCGCCGCGCCTAGGCCGCAGCCACGTTTTCATCATTTTCGTGAGGAAGTCTCAGGTAAAACGATGTCATCCAGATCCGGTTGTGTTGTTACGATCGGTTTTCCCTGGCAAAAAATAAGCTAAAGTGGACATTTCTTGTTCTAACATAACCAAACTTCAAGAATCCCTTGCAAAAAAAAAAGGTAAAGTGGACATTCGCGCGCGCAAGACGAAATCCTTCCAAAACCTTAGTTTTCGTAGCGATTTTAACATAAAAACATAAAAAACCAATGGTTTTTCAAAAAAATGTCAACATTTCATCCCGCGCGCTCTTGCGGATTCGTAGGAAACCCAACACTTTTTAAACATTTCTGTCAAACGGGCTTTTGCGAGCAACTTTTTCGAACTTCTGCAACAACGGTTGCGCACCTGCCAGGGCCATCATCCCTGTCAAATAATATCATGCGGGACACATTCGTTTTTTCTTCGCGCGCGCACGCCGTCGTCGTCGGCCGCGGGGCCCTGAATAGTAGCCACGGTCGTCCGCATGCCACGAAGTGAAGTGTCCGAACGTCATAGGGCGGGAAGCTGGGTGTGGGTGGTGGCGAAGAGTCGTTTGGAAATTTGGTAGAGCTTGAACCGGCCCCCCCACAAAGTGGGGGTATTGCCCGCCTCCTATGAAAACCCTGGCACTGGTGAGAACGGAGTGTCCCCACTTGCTAGTAATTGTTGTTGTTGTTGTTGTTGTTGTTGTTGTTGTTGTTGAACCCTCATTCTTAAAGAATAATTATTGTTGATCCCCCCCCACCGGTGCACATTGATTTTTTTCAATTGAAGTGCATCCCCCGGGGCTCGCACCTTGTTTTTTTATCGAGGAAAATCTTCCTGCTCAAACTGGCCCCTTGGCTCCCGGTTGACAACAACAACGGCTCCCGCCTGAGACTTCCTTACAATTTAGCCAGGACCCCCGCTCCCGCACGAGATTTCCTCGCATTTTATTCAAGAGTCGCGCTCTTGCTTGGGACTTCCTTACGATTTATTCAGGAATCGCTCCTCCTGCGCTCTGGAGTCGCGCTCTCGCTGGAGACTTGCTTGCAATCTACTGAAGAATAGCGCCCTTGCGTTGGAATTTCTTGCAATTTACTCCAGCGCTGCGCTCCCGACGCCCAGGCACCCAGGAGTCGCGCTCACGCTTAGGACTCCTTCACAGATTAGAAATCGGGATCTCGCTGCCCTTCGTGGCCCCGTTGCAGCCCTTCGTGGCCCCCTCGCTTTGTTTCGTGGCCCCGTTGCAGCCCTTCGTGGCCCCCTCGCTTTGTTTCGCGGCCCCGTTGCAGCCCCTCGTGGCCTCCTCGTTGCCCTTCGTGGCCCCGTTGCGGCCCTTCGTGGCCCCCTCAGTTTGTTTCGTGGCCCCGCTGTCGCCCTTCGTGGCCCCCTCGCTTTGTTTCGTGGCCCCGTTGCAGCCCTTCGTGGCCCCGTTGCAGCCCTTCGTGGCCCCCTCGCTGCCCTTCGTGGCCCCCTCGTTTTGTTTCGTGGCCCCATATATGTATGCCCTTCGTGGCCCCCGCTCGTTCGCGCCCGTGGTGGCCCCATATGCGTGCCATTCGTGGCCCCGCTGTCGCCCTTCGTGGTCCCCCTCGCTGCCCTTCGTGTCCCCGTTGCTGCCCTCAGTGGCCCCGTCCGTGCCCTCCGCGGCCCAACATACGTATGCCCTTCGTGGCCCCCGCTCGTTCGCGCCCGTTGTGGCCCCATGTGCATGCCCTTCGTGGCCCCGCTGTCGCTGTTTGTGGCCCCCTCATTGTCCTACGTGGCCCAGGTGCTACCTTCAGTGGCCCATCGTCGCCTTGTGGCCCCGCATTATTGCCATTCGTTGCCCACGCTCGTTCGCGCTCTTCGTGGCCCCATACGCATTCCCTTCGTGTCCCCGCTGTCGCCTTTCGTGGCCTACTTCGTGTCCTTCGTAGCTCTGCTGTCGTTCTCTCTCGCTCTCGCTTTCGCTCGTCGTCGTCGTCGCGTCGCCGTCGTTGCCGTCGTCGTCGACGTCGTCGTCGTCGTCGTCGTCGTGGTCGGTCCCCTGTCCGTCCCTCTTGGGGTCGGGTCGACGGTCCGCGGCCGCCCCGCCGATCAGCGCTGCCGCTGGCCAGGCCGACGGTCCGCGGCCGCCTCGCCGCTTGCCGGGGCCCGGCCTGCAGGGAAGAAAGGTATCCCCCCCAAAAGGGGTTCGATCGAAGACGAAAAGGGCGGGTATCGAGGGTTTGGGAAATCCGCGTCATTCGACACTCGAGCAGATAAGGGCGAACAGTCTTAAAATTGTTGTTGTTGTTGTGGTTGTTGTTGTTTTGGTGTTGTTGTTGTTGTCGTTGAACATTATTAATTCTAAAGAATAATTATTGTTGGGGCCCCTGGTGCACGGCCCCCCTGCGCCGCCTAGGCCGCAGCTACATTTTCATCATTTTCGCGAGGAAGCCTCAAGTAAGAACGATGTCATCCAGATCCGGTTGTTTTGTTCCCCCCCGCTTTCCCTTGCAAAAAACACTATAAAATGACATTGCTTGTTCTAATATAATCAAATTTCAAGAATCCCTTGCAAAAAATAAGGTAAAGTGGACATTCGCGCGCGCAAGACGAAATCCTTCCAAAAGCTTAGTGTTCGGAGCGATTTTAACATAAAAACATCAAAAAACCAATGGTTTTTCAACAAAAAAATGTCAAAATCTCATCCCGCGCGCTCTTGCGGATTCGTAGGAAACCCAACACTTTTTAAACATTTCTGTCAAACGGGCTTTTGCGAGCAACTTTTTCGAACTTCTGCGACAACGGTTGCGCACCTGCCAGGGCCATCATCCCTGTCAAATAATACCATGCGGGACACATTCGTTTTTTCTTCGCGCGCGCACGCCGTCGTCGTCGGCCGCGGGGCCCTGAATAATAGCCACGGTCGTCCGCATGCCACGAAGTGAAGTGTCCGAACGTCACCATGCTGGGCACATGCGCGCCCCGAATAAGTGACCAAGTTCTGTGGGTGTGTACCCCACGCCAGTGTAGTAGCCACGGTCGTCCGCACGCCACGAAGTGAAGTGTCCCAACGTCATAGGGCGGGAAGCTGGGTTTGGGTGGTCGCGAAGAGTCGTTTGGATATTTGGTAGAGCTTGTAATGCCCCCCCACGAAGTGGGGGTATTGCCTGGTGTCGTATGAAAACCCTGGCACTGGGGAGAACACCACGCGTTCGGGTAAAATGATTGTTGTTGTTGTTGTTGTTGTTGTTGTTGTTGTTGTTGTTATTATTATTGTTGTTGTGTGTGTGCGTGTGTGTGTGTGGTGGGGGTGTGGGGTGTGGGGTTTTCCCTCTGCCCGGGCTTATTAAAAGATATATGAAGAGGAATACACACATATATACACATATGTATGTATGTGTGTGTATATATATATATATATATATAAATTACACACAAGCGCAGCGGCACCCAAGCATGCCTATAGACGACTGCGGCTAGAAAGCGAACGCGGCATCTGGCGCAGGCGCCCCCAGATGCTGGCCTTCTGCCCCCCCAGCAGGCGGGGAGCAGCGAGGACCGCCGCCCTCCCGAGTCGGGCGGCCTGCAGGGAGACCCCCAGCTCCTGGCCCTGCGCGACGCCCTGCAGGGTCGCCCCGAGGTGCCTCTGGAAGGCCTTCACCGCCTGCGGGTTGGGCGGCCCAGGCCCCAGGGTCGTCGTCGCCGTCGTCGCCGTCGTCGTCGTCGTCGTCGTCGTCGTCGTCGTCGTCGTCGTCCTCGTCGTCGTCGCCGTCGCTGGCCCGCCGGCGGCGGGCTCCCGCCACGCCGCGGAGGTCGCTGGCTGGCTGGCCAGCCAGCTGGTCGGTCGGCCGCCCATCGTCTTCGAACCCAGGATCCCTTGAACCATGAAACATTCACAACGGGAGACTTTTTCCCAATTGTCTCTGCCTCCGGGGGCCGTCAAAGAGCGACTCGGGGTGACAAAAAAAACGGCTGGTCCTGGGGAGTGGGTCGAGACCTCTGGGGGTCGACGTTGTGATCCAATCATGACGTCGGGGGTCTGGGATGGAGGAGGAGGAGGAGGAGGAGGAGGAGGAGGAGGAGGAGGAGGAGGAGGAG